GTGCGTGGAAGGCGTGTCAGAGACATTCGGAACTCAAGATGCAGACTTGAGGCTTGGGAAAAAGACCAGATACTGTAGTCAGCAGAGAAGCCACAGGCCACGGCTAGCCCTGCCAGCCTTACAGTTAAGTGTTGGCCCAGCAACCAGTCTCAGCATGGATTGAGAAGGGCTCTGATGCACAAAGGGCAGGGCAGGCCTAGATGACAGAGAGGGCTTTTAGGCGAGGTAGCTCTGATGGCTTTTCAGTGAGGGGTCATAAGCCTCACTGGCATCCTTGAGGAAATGAGGCTATTTCAAGGGATCTTTAAAGTCAAAATTTGACCTTTTGTTGAACTGCTAACTCGGGAAAAACAAGCTCCAAAGCTGGGTTTGCTTAAGAAAGCAACATCAGTGTGTTTAGACGTGTGGTTTATTAATGTCCTTGGCTGTGCCGAATTTCATAGGAAGTTACTCTGGGTGAAGCTGAGGTCAATTTTCCTGTTTTTCTATTTAGCATTTTTTTGGTTTTGGAAATAGACCAGTAACTAACTACATGGTATGAAGACTTGAAACATTAACTCTTTTAAAATATCACATCAGTAAACTCTATAGCCAGTTTGTCTCTGACCCAGAGGGCAGGGATCCAGCCTTGGGAAGGAATGCTCAGGAGGCTTCCTGGAATGGAGGCCAGGGGTGGTGCTGTCAGCCTGGGCCTCCACCTTGGCTGCATCCCCTGAGGGACTGGTCACCTACTTTTCTTCTTCATTCTTATTCACTAATTTGTTACTAACAAGGTCTGAGGAAGCCTTCTGCTTCCCCAGGATATAATCACTATTCTTACTCTTCTTCTCAAGAAAGAAACAAAACACTCCCCAACTCAGGGATGCAGAAGGCTAAGATGCCAGGGTTTCCAGTGTGATTGGTTCTCTGGGTCTCCAGCCTTCTCTCCCTCCTATACCCTTGTCATTGTCATTTCTACAGCTACAAGACCTAAGTTCCAAGAAGCAGCAGCCCCACAGCATTCTGGATCTGCTCCGAACCCGGAATATCCGAACAGTCACCATCATGTCCATAATCCTGTGGTACGTAAGTGAGACCTACCTGAGGCTTCCAGACAAAGCCTCTGGCAGTAGCTATTGTGCATCTCATTGGCAGACATGTCTCAGACCAAAATTAAAAGCCTGTGTCATCAGAAAGTGAAAGAGATGTCCCTTGCGATCAAAGAAATGATTATGTCACATTTCTTAACTTGAAGGACTCTCAGAGAAGGACAATGAAAACTGTTGTGTGGAGTTTTTTGGGGAAATATGGGCTCTTTGGGGATCTTTCCAGGTCCTGAGGCAAATTTTTGCTTACCCTGGGTCCTAGTTGTTCATGTCCTCTGTGCCTCAGATAGTGACTAAGGAAGTCAGGTGAGGCCTTCACAAAGTCTCTAAGTGAAAACACCTTGTTCTTTCAGTTACAGAGGCTGCTAAGTACTTTCTGGAAAGATGGAAGCAGGATCCCTCCCTTTGGGTTGTTTGGAGACCATCCTGGAGGCAAGGCCACAGCCTAGATGTCCTTATCAGTTTCCTTCTAATGAAGGATTTCGCCAAGTCTGTCAGGAAGGGCTTTGAGTTGCCAGAGAGAGGGGACACAGCCCAGTGCCTGAGAAGCGTTGGCTTCGTGGCCCTCAGGATCGTAGGCCACTACCTGACCCTGCTGGGCAAGGAAGTTGGACTTCATCCCAGAGTCCCTATTACTAGAGTTGAGCAACCTTGGGCAGCCAGCCATTTTGCTCTCTGGGGATTATGATGAGTCACCCATTTCCAAGGAATAGCCCAGGATCCCTCAGGGTTGTGTGCCATCCAAGTGCTGGCCTCAGACAGGGCTCTCATTCAGTCTGCTGCACGGACATGCCGCCTCCAATGAGTCACCATTCCGTGGTTCACACGGGCCCTCCCCTGCCGTGGACGTCCCAGGGGCTCCTGCATGTGCCCTTTTCCCTGGTTGTACCAGCTGTGGTTTCAGCCTGCAGATGAGTCCAGTCTAACCCACAAAGGTCCAGTTTACCAGAGAGAATGCCTCCTGGAGACAGGGACCAGGCCAGGGTCACCAATGCAGGTGGAAGATGATGTGGCCCCACCACTGGGGCCCCACCACTTCCCCATGGGTATGGTAGCATCGGGGTCCGCTGCCTCCACCAGCCTCTTCTTGGCTAGTCTCCACGGAACACCTGCTGGGGCTCTGCAAACGTTTGACCTGATGATCGTTCCTTATTTTATCTCATTTCTCTGATCCTATCCCATCCCGCTTGATACCTGCCTCCTGGCTCATTCTCTGGCTCCTTCTGAAGTTGCTGGGTTTGGGGAGATCTAGAGAGTAGGGAAATAGGCTTTGTGAGAGCTTCAGCTTAGGATTTTTAAAGCCAAAAGGCAGGTTCGAGTTGATTTTTTTTTTCAGCAAAGTAAACTTATCTGAATTATATAAACCTTATTGCTGTTTGGGATGCTCTAAAAGTGTTCTGGTTTGAAATTTACTCTGGGCTGGGGGAAGTCATCTTTTGTTCTAAGCAGTAGAGTCAGGGTTAAATCTGCTGCCTGCTGTAAGGAGAGTTTTGAATTTCCTGCATTAATTGTATCTGCAAAGCTGTCCCATTGGGAGGTGCCTGCACAGACGCTGCCCCATCAGCTCTCTGCACTCTGTTTCAGGATGACCATATCAGTGGGCTACTTTGGGCTCTCCCTTGACACACCTAACTTACATGGCGACATCTACGTGAACTGCTTACTTTCAGCGGTGGTTGAGGTCCCGGCATACACGTTGGCCTGGCTGCTGCTGCGGTACCTGCCCCGGCGCTATTCCATGGCCACCGCCCTCTTCCTGGGCGGCGGCGTTCTCCTCTTCGTGCAGCTGGTACCCTCAGGTAGGGACCACGTGTGTCTGCTGTCTGAGCCTCCTCTGCGTCACTCAGTCTCTACCAGACTGTCTCTCCAATTAATAAAGAGAATAAAATCATGCCATCACAGCTCACCTGCATATTCACATTCTCAGCCAAAAAGTCAAAAGTGTCTCCTGGGACCAGACATCACTGCCTGGGCGTGGAGGGAGTAGGCAAAGCAACCAGGTGGGGCTGGTGGTTAATTTTCCTTTCTATCCAAGTTAGTTTGTGCACATCTGTTTTTCTCTGCAGAGTAAGGAGGAAAGAGAGCCAACAAGTAGCCGGGGAGTACCTGCTCTGGGCTGGGCACGGTGGTAGAGGCCAGCAATATAGAAGTCAGCAAGTTGGGTGGAGCCCAGGGCCCTCCTGCCACTCACACTCTACTTGAGAAGTTGGGCAGCAAAAGTAAATAAAGGCTTAAGATAGTGCAGACTGTGTTACCTTTTATAATAACAATAAAGGGCTGTGGAGGGCTAGTTTATGCAGAAAACAGATGCACTGTTAGAGGGAGCCGTGAGAAGAAGCACAACATTTCAGGAGCACAACATTTCAGGCCGAAGAGGTAGCAAAGACAGAGACCCTGAGAAGGGAGCCAGCCTGGCATGTTTGAGGGGCCAGGTTACAGAGTAGGTCTCATAGGCCATTAGCAGGATTTTATTCTTAAAACCGTTTTTGCTATCCCACAGGTGGGGGACAGCCCTTTAGTACAATTCATGGAACAGTTCAGGGACTTACCGTGGCCCCTAGAGTTAGTGCACTGGTGGATTTGGGAACCCCTGGTTATGGGTCGCGGCCCCCTGCAGCAGGCAGCCCCACTGCAGCGTGGCAGGGAGCCCAGGCATGTGTGCGGGGCTCGCACCGGAGCTCAGGGCAGCCCACGGGCTACCCACAGCATCTCCTTATTGGCACAGTGAGCAGGGTGGATCAGAGGATTGCTTCTGAGGCTCTGCAGGTGTGTGAATTGCTGAGGTCTGAGTAGCACGAAAGCATGAAATGAGTTAGAATTGACCTCCCCGTTCATCCATCCCCAAATCATTAATCATTTCCACTGTGCCTGCAGCATGAGGTTCTGAGTGCCAGCTGACCCCTTGACAGACATGTCTTTTAATGACTTCTGGCCTGGAAAGCAGATTTGTTTGGGCTATTGGGGGCTCACTCTGGTGGCCTTTAGGCTGAGAAGAGCATATCTTCACATAGCTGCAGGTCCCTGCCTCTCCGTAAGCAACTCGGAGGGACATCTTGGCTATAGGCCCTTATCCAACAATAGGAGGTTATGGAAACTATTCCTTGCAACGGGAGAGACAGTTTGTTTCAGGTAAAACACACACACACATGGAACTCTCAATAGCAATGTACCTTGGGTCGGTGCCTTCTCTTACTTTCTTCCCTTTGCCTCTCCAGACTTGTATTATTTGGCCACAGCCCTGGTGATGGTGGGCAAGTTTGGAGTGACTGCGGCCTTTTCCATGGTCTACGTGTACACAGCCGAGCTGTACCCCACAGTGGTCAGAAACATGGGCGTAGGGGTCAGCTCCACGGCCTCCCGGCTGGGCAGCATCCTATCTCCCTACTTCATTTACCTTGGTAAGTCCCGTGGGCCGAGCACGCAAGAGCAGTGGAGTGGAAGCACCGATGGGATGGGCATTAATGTGAGCCAGAGATGGCTTGGTAACAGGAAAACAAGCACACATACAAATGGAATCTATCTAGTACTGGATCGGTGCCTGGAGGAGGTTCTCATCCAGGTGCGCTGGGTCGGGGGAGGCACTCGCTCGTAAATGGAAAACAACCTATAGATTAGATAGAAATCGATGAAAAAAGTAGAGTTTTATTCCTGTTTCAGCCATCCCAGGCCTTCCATAAGAGAATACAGTTCCCCTGTCCTAAGAGACTATAGAGTGGCTCAGGGAGTCAGTGTACTTAACTGGAGAAATCTCTTCCTGGAATCAGAATTTAAAAGGAACATGAGCGGGGAAAGATGTCCATTCGAGAGGAACTAAGAATTTTTGTAACTTGAAGCATGTGACACAGTGTTTTATCTTGTGTGAAGACCCATCTTGTGCCATTTTCTGTAGCAGGGCACCAGTTTCCTCTTCCTCCGAATCATTTTCTCATAACAACTGCTGTACCCCTGCACATCCCTTGTTGACACATCTTTGGAGAAGGGTGGCATGCACCTTGAGAGTGCCCAGAATGCTTTGTGAACGTGCTGCATAGACAAGCAGAAACACCTTGTTTGGCCTGTAGGCAAATCGAATGGGTTGTGACACATCTGGGGAGGTGGAGGAGCTATTCCTGTCCCTGGACGAGCACCTCGAGCCCCTTGGAAACCCAGCACTGGAAAGTAGGGACAGCGATCATCGTGGCTCCCCCCTGCAGCGGGAGGTGCTACCAGACCTCGGTGCCAACTCTGGCTTCTGAGACCTGTCTAGGTGCCAAACTCCAACCTGGCAGCTCAGACTGTGGGACGTGCTGAGGCTGAGAAGGCAAGTGATCCCCTTTAGAGAGTCCTGAGAGCACAGAGGGAGACCACGGCTAACCGCACCCCGGCCTTGGGGCTCTGTCTGCTCTACCCTAGGTGCCTACGACCGCTTCTTGCCCTACATTCTGATGGGCAGCCTGACCATCCTGACAGCCATCCTCACCTTGTTCCTCCCAGAGAGCTTTGGCACCCCTCTCCCAGACACCATTGACCAGATGCTGCGGGTCAAAGGGTAAGGAGGCCTCCTCCTTTACAATGTTGAAGCACTGGGTCTGGGCCTGGCACAGAGTTTCCCACAAACTCTCACAAATGCCACGGACTGGTTTAGCCATTAGAGGGTCAGAAATGGCAAGGAGGTTTCATTTTATCCTCTCTGGTGTGATCCGGACCACCATGTCACCACATACATCTCCACAGCAGTAGTGGCTCTGGCATAGTGCAGAGGCCTTTCAGAATGTGCTGTATGACATTCCCTTTAGTGTGATATGCTCAGTTCTGGGTTTGGTTCACTGATTGGTTCTGAGACTGGTAGACATTTTTGCAGGATTTCTCACTAACATTTGCTTTGCTTGTTCTAATAGAATAAAATACAGGCAAACGCCAAGCCACACAAGGATGTTAAAAGACGGTGAAGAAAACCCCACAGTCCTTAAAAGCACAGCCTTCTAACAACCTCCAGTGAGTGAGAAAGTGAAGAGGAAAGACCACTGGAAATGGCTCATGCAGACAGTGAGTCCTTCAGTGGCAAAGGTCTTTGCTGTTCATTCTGTAGACCCTGTGTCTGACTTGCTCACAGATGGGCCCCTGGACTCAGAGGCTGCATGTGGTTCTAGGGCACCACCTTTCCTCCAAGGACACCGTGGCTACTGACAGACAACTTTAGAGAAGTCCTAACTAATACAGTGATGGACTGGGCACTTTCTAAGAAGTTGAATGTTCACGAGAACCAGTGGGATTTGGAAGAATACGAGAGGCATCTGCTAAATATACATTTTAATTTCAGACATCCCTGAAAGGGCCTCTGATAAAACCAGAGGTCTGATCCCATCCCCAGATCTTTTCCCCCTGAGACTCCAATGGTACACATAGAGGGAAAGAAATCATGTCACAGAGAGTTTGATTTCTCACACTTTTTTAGTTACAAAGGTTATTAGCTGGGATTGTTGCTTTCCCAGAGCAGGAGAGCCCAGGTGTGGGGACACCCGAAGGTAATGAACATGGAGGGGACAGAGCAGGTACAGAGCACAAGCAAGTGCATTGACCTGTGGGCTCTTAGACCACTTGGTGTGACTACTGAGTAGACTCGTTTACATCTGATCAAAGCACTGGGCTTATCCAGGCCCATAACAAACACTTCATTGAACTACTATTCTTGTTTCCATGCCATGTCAATCAAACCTAGCTATCATGGTTTCAATGTATGGTTTGAAGGAAATGTGTCAGTGAGAAAGAGAGACAAGCAAACTTGTCTCTTCTGTCAAAACTATAATGTGGATTTTGTGTTTTGTTCGTTGCTTGTTTTCTGTCTCTTTCTCCTTAAGTTATTTGCCCTTCACAATAGACTTAGGAAAGGCTGGTTCCTTAGCTTCCTGGTTTGTGTCTTTTTTTTTCCAACCCAGAAGCACTCTGGCACTGGTCTGCAGTTGCTGCTTATGCAAGGACTTACCAGCCTCAGCCACTAGCACTTCTCTGAGTGCCAAAACTGACATTACTGTATCTGTTCCTTTTGTGGTACCTAATCATGGAAAAAAATTACAAAGAAGAAAGTTAAGTCATGTTCAGTCTTTCAGAGTTGCTCACTTCAGACATGTGACATGGAGATATTTTGTGTTCAGTGTAATTGTCTTCTCTTTTCAGATTGTTACCATGGTACTCCTAAAGCATATGCTTCACCTGGTTAAAAAAACCATTATTTTTCAGAAAGCTACTAATGTGCCTTGGGAAATTAACATGTTTTACTAAATAAAATGATTTTTTAAATAATAGCAACTGCCCATGACCTTTACTTCCACAATTTGGTCTTTTCACCTGTTTTTTTCTCTGTGTCACTTTGGGCTAATTCTAGCAGTGGTTTTTGATTAGTCTCTAAGGCTAAGATTTAATCCCTGTGTGCTAGAAACTGTCACTCTGTTGACTCTGGGCTGAGCCAGCATTCTTACACAAATATCTTAGCCTGAAAGGTTCCCCCGAAAGCAGAGTCTGAGACCAGCACTTTTGTGCAGCTGGGTAGTTTATTTGGGAATAAGATTCCAGGGAGCAGGAGTAAAGGATAGGGGGAGAAAAACGGGGAGGAGAAGGCCCCCTACAAGGATGCATTTTCAGGTCTGCCAGAGCCAAGGGCACTGTTCCATCCAGCCAGAACTTCGGAGGAACCTTATGAAATATATCTCGGAACCATTTGCACAATGGATAAAAGGCAGAAAGCATTTGTATATTGGCTTCCACCTTCCATTCATCAACGGCAGCCCTACAGATGTCAGCTCCCCACATTTCCAGTTGCACATGCATGGGTCCCAAAGAGGTTCTGTCCCCTGGGTAGAAAGCAAGAGGTAATACATTGCAGGCCCAAAGTGAGGCACTGTCAGGCTGCACTGCAATGGTCAAAATTGTGTGACCTGGTCACTGCAACAGTGGCTGGAGTAAGTGGTAGGGCCACGAGGATTGGGGGTTGGACATGGTGCACAGACATATATATATAATGTGTCACAGGGCAATCTGAGATAGAATGTATAGATAGATCTGAGTAAAAACTCCAGGGTTGGATAGATAAAAAGACATGTTGCATGACAAAACAAGCAGCATCAGACTCAGGTGGGGAGAAAGGAAGCTCATCTTCTATAAGGCTGTTGGCTTCCTCTCCATCCTCAAAACGGGTCCTGTGCTGGGTTCCTGGTTAACTGAGTGGCTCTAGAATATGAATTACGGTCCCGCATACCCTTTCTCCTGTTACAAGAATGAAGATGTGCTGAGTTTTCTTAGTCTCAGTGTCACTGGTTCCGGTCACCTGTGGCCTTCTAGGAGCAAAAATCATAACTACCTGAATGCTCAGGGCTCTTACCATAGGGGCAATAGCCCAAGTCACTTCCCCCAAGCTGAGCTAAGTAGCTAGAAATCCAAGGCCTCTGTCTAGGCCTGCTGGTCCTTTGCATGGCTTGTTTGCATCAGAGCCATGACTTGGGGGTGACTGACCCAGTAACCCTGACCAGGGATCTCCTCTTGGGAAGAGGTGTGCAGACCTGTAGTCATAAGGATGGCTGGTGAGTGATGAGCTGCTCAGTTCATACCTGTAAAAATTAGAAGCCAGGCTATCCATAGAAATATGAAGAACAAAGCAAAAGAGGTGGAGAGACAATTCAGATTAAAAATAGAATAAAAATTTTCTACCACAGATCAAAGTGAAAATAAGAGTTTACCACATATTCTTTTCCTATTCTTAGCAACTAGTTCCCGTCTCCATCAGAGTTCCCTAAACACGCTCATGAATTCAAGAAAGGCTGATGTTTTTGCCAGACAGAATTATTTAGCTTCACATAGTCTAAGCGATGGTGAATGAGTTGGCAGATGGCGCCCTGCTCCAAGGTAGTAGTAAGTAGCTCGACAAATCTTTCCCCTAGGCGTTTTGTTTAATCCCTTTTCCTGACGGCTCTTAGGCTGGACCTGTAGTCATAAGGATGGCTGGTGAGTGATGAGCTGCTCAGTTCATACCTGTAAAAATTAGAAGCCAGGCTATCCATAGAAATATGAAGAACAAAGCAAAAGAGGTGGAGAGACAATTCAGATTAAAAATAGAATAAAAATTTTCTACCACAGATCAAAGTGAAAATAAGAGTTTACCACATATTCTTTTCCTATTCTTAGCAACTAGTTCCCGTCTCCATCAGAGTTCCCTAAACACGCTCATGAATTCAAGAAAGGCTGATGTTTTTGCCAGACAGAATTATTTAGCTTAACACCTAGTCTAAGCAATGGTGAATGAGTTGGCAGATGGCCCTGTTCCATCAGGTAGTAGTAAGTAGCTCGACAAATCTTTCCCCTAGGCGTTTTGTTTAATCCCTTTTCCTGACGGCTCTTAGGCTGATAGGAAGATGCTTGATGCAGCACATACAACATGAGCAATACCTTATGTTGTGTGCCATTGCTATGGCAAACAGCACTTTGGAAAATACATCTATTATCTCATTCGATCTTCCAAATGAGATAAAACCCAATGAGATTGGTAGAGGATGCCCAGGATGACAGAATCAGAGGTTTCTCAGAAATCACATCATATCCTGGAGTCTCGGGCAGACTCATACCAGAAGGTCTCACCTTGGGGAATAAGGGGCCTAATCTCAAGGACAGTTGTGTAAGAAGCTACCAGAGGAACTGGGACATCGTATCTCTATTGGGACAGCCAGAGGGCAGCAGCCGGGCACCTGACTGTTTTTACCCTAGATGAAGTCTCACATCAGAAACTCTTCATGGATGTATAGAGGAGGTATGGAAATACACTCTACACATCAAGGATAGAATGAGAAATGCATGCAGTGGTATCGGTATTTGCAAATATCTTATAAGGGATTAATATTAAACATATATATAGAATTCCTACAACTCAAAAATTTAAATGGGCAAAAGATTTGAGTAGACATTTCTCCAAAGAAGACATACAAATGGCCAATAAGCGCATGAAAAAATGTGAAAATCATTAGAGAAATGCAAATCAAAACCACAATAAGATACCACTTCACATCCATTTTTATGGCTGTTATTAAAAAACAAAATAACGCACCTTTGTCAAGATGTGGGGAAATTGGATCCCTTATGCATTGCTAGTGGGAATTTAAAATGTTACAGCTGCCATAAAAAACAGTATGGCATCTCCTCCAAAAACCAAATGGAATTACTGTATGATCCAGCAAATTCCACTTCCAGGTATATACCCAAATGAAGTGAAAGCAGAGACTCCAACATTTGCACACTGTGTTCACAGCATTGTTTACAATAGACAAAAGGTAGGAACAACCCAAGTTCCCATCAACAAATGAGTGAATAAACAAACTGGTATATAAATACAATGGAATACTATTCAGCCTTAAAAAGGAATGAAATTCATCGACATGGGTGAGCCTTGAAAACAAGCTAAATGAAATAAACCAGACACAAAGGGACAAATATTGTCCAATTCCATTTACATGAAGTACCTAGAATAGTCAAATTAATAGAGATAGAAGTAGAATAATGGTTATCAGGGACTGAGGAGAAGAGGTATGGGAGTTAGCGTTTACTGGGTAAAGTTTGAGCTTGAGATGATGAAAAAGTTTAAGAGGTGGATGGTGGTGCTGACTGCACAACAATTTGAATGTACTTAATGCCACTGAAATATACACCTAAAGGTTAAAAGGGTAAATTTTATGTTATGTATAGTTTACCACAAGAATTAATTTTTAAAAAGATTTATTCAAGTACTATATAATGGCAATAAACAAACATTCTTAAATATTAAATTCAAGCGATAAGTTGCCCATGAACCCCTTTTAAAGTAACTACTTAAAAATGAAATTCTGCCCATTAATAAATTAATCCATTTGCAACTCATGTAACAAAGAGCTAATTTACCTAAGATAAAAAGATCTCCTACAAAAAAAATAAGAAAAAATTAACAACTCCAGTAGAAACTTGGGCAAGAGATATAAACAACACACAGAAATTGAAATATAGACGACTTTTAAATGCATGAAAAGATTCTATACCTTCCTCCTAATAAGAGAAATATGAATGAAAACTATACTGAGATATCATTTTCATCTATCCTTTCTGTATAAATGCAAAGGAAAATGTATCTAATAATATTTTCCTAATAATAGTAAATTTTAGATGGTAAGATTTGAGAGAGCTTTTAAAGCATTTATTGTAGTTTCTACAGTGTTTGTATTCGTTATAATGTACACGCCTAAGTTTCGATGAAGTGTTTTTCAATGAACAAAACTAGGAGTAAATATGCAAGATGAGAACAAGGATGAATTATTCTGTGCACTTTTCAGTGTTTTTTAAAACTCCTCCCATCGCTTCCCAGACTTTCATATATTTTTAATGTAGTTCGACTCCTGATATGGCTGACACACATCCAGTTTCATATTTCTCCTCGACACTCCTGCCTCCATCCATACATTGTCCTCCTTCATCTCTCATTATCCCAATTCTACCCATGTTCAAGGTCCACCTCAAATACACCCTCTCCCTGGGAGGCACTACAGCCTACTGGCTAAGTGCCCACTCCAGGGGCAGTTATGTGGGCCATGCGGTCCAGAAGTAGGCTTCTCCACTGACTAGCTCTATAAGTTTGGGCAGATCGCTCCACCTTCCAGAGACTCAGTTTCTTCATCTGAAAACAGATGACCTATCTCATCGGGTTTTTATAAGGATTAAATTATAAGGATTAAACTTGGTGTTGACAACAGCATTGCTAGTCATCCTGGCTTTCATGCAGTTATCAATGCAACAGTTAATTAGTCCTTGTCACAGTCTGTTTGAGGGAAATTAGAACTACCTTTGGGGGAAATCACAGATCTCCTATCCCTAAGGTACTTAAGTAGTATATTCACCTTACATTTGGTAGTTCTTTTTTTTTTTTGATTTTGACAAATATGTTTACTCTTTCATCCTTCCAAGAGAGACAGAGCCCTCTGAATAAAAAAATACCTCATGACACTCACACCTACTTCTTTCTTTTTTTTAGTCCAGATGAATGGTTTCTGGGCTTCCTGAAAGCCTGGCAACAAAACCTGTAAACTCACATACTGTCAGCCTCCACACTTCACACTGAGGTGGCCGTGATCAGTGAAGGAAAAGCTGTTTGACCTATGAGCGAGCCCAGTGAGCAAATATTCGTGCAGCAGTCATGGTTTCGTTCAAGCCCGCTTCAACAGCATGAAAGGTGTTGGCCCTGAACAGCTGTCCTCCCCACGATGACTCACTCAGGCCGCTCATGACTGCAAGCTCCCAGCTCTCCAAGGGCACCTTGCTTGGGGACACAGATAGCAGAGCAAGAGTGCCTTTTGGAGCGCTCGCTTCTTTTTCCCACAGAATAACAGATTTCCTTCTGCATTGCCAAATGTGTAAATGCTTTCCTTCAGGAACATTTAAAAGACAACTCCTTTTTCCCAGAAAACCAGGGCCCCCGAAGCAAAATTATTTACCTTCGATTGTTCAAGAACAATTGCTCACTCCCTTTCTATATTTTGACTTTGCCTCCTCCTCAAGGAAGTTAAAGGATGTTTTTGCTATTGGTAAATCATATTTTTCTAGAGGCAAACAGTTCTAGTATTGAGTTCTAAACTGAAGTTTGGAGATTATCCATGTAATAAGCATTTCTCAAAACCAGACACTAGCTCACACAGAGGACACAGTCGATAGTTTAGTAGCAAAACATAAACATGTCTTATGAGTAGGCAAGTGGATATGGAGTTTCCCTGCCCACTTGACACGTCACCCAACACATGCAGAGTCAAAACCCTCCAAAACTTGGTCCTTTTCCAAGATTCTCCAGCTCAATGCAGAGCATCATCGTGTCAGTTTGGGTTATCCTAGAGCAGATGCCAAGCAGTTCTGAGAAAGTGTAGGTCACACTGACGGGAAGGCCCAGAGAACAGACTACCTGTTAGAGGAGTCCCACTTTGGGCAGAAATGGCCAGCTCTGGGACCCCTACTGTGCTCATTCATTGGCTGGGAGCACCCAGAAAGTGCGGCCTTGTATGAGCACTGCAGTGAATCTGAAGGTGCAGCAGCTAGCAGCTGTGTTCTTTCTACCTATGTGGCTGCCACAGTCATTCAGTTATATAACCTTGAAGCCGTGCTTGCCATCTCCTTCTCCCTTAGCATTAAGTCCCAATCCATCACCACATTTCTGACCATTTTACCTCCTAAATATCTCTCTCATCTGTCCATTTCTCTTCTTCTCCACCATTATCTTGCTCCCAACTGGTGACTACGTTTCAACCCATTCACCCTGCAGCAGAGCAGTCTTTTCAAAACAAAGTCAGATCATGTAACCCCCTGCCTAAACAACATCAGAGCTCCTATGATAAAGACCTAAGTCCTCAGCATGACCTTCAAGACCCTACCTGTTATGGCTTTTGCCTTGCGCTTCAGCCTCCTGTGGACCCTCTCTGCTCCATTTAACCTTTGGGTATCAGATGATGATCGGATCAGATGATCCAACCTGCTTTCAGTTCCCCAAATGCTCCAAGTTCTTTCCTGCCTCAGGACCTTCGTACGTGCTGTTCCCCTGACCAAAGATCTCTTCTTCAACCCCACATCCCTTCACCCAATTAACTAATATTTATTCCTTAGCTCTCATTCAAACATCACTTCAGGAAAACCTTCTCTGACCCGACAAGTTCAAATCCTTAGTTATTCCCTCTTATAGAATCAAATCCACTTTGTAGCATCTAGGATAGTATTCTATATTTGACTGATTATGTGATTGTTTACCTCACTAAAGTGTGTTTTCTGAGAGCAGAGACCATGTCTATTTTTGCTCATTATTAAATCCCCAGCATTAGCAGAGTGGTTGCATTTTATATTTGCCACAAAATATTTTTTCGACGAATGAAATATCTAAAAGGGTTTTTTGACTTTTTTCCTTTTTATTTGAATCACACACCAGGTGTTTTCTAACCGGTGAATACTATCTTTCTTTCCATATATATTGCTCTCCAGGTGTGTTGCATGATTCCCTCCCCAACCCCATGGTAAAGTCTTTGAGGGCTGGCCTTGGACTTGGATTTTTGGGTCTTCATTGATGAGCATTGCAGCCTAGATAAAATACTTGTTGTGAAAATTGCTATTGCACAAGCTTTTATTCTAGGGTTGGAAGGCCAGGGAAGGTAGGAAGAAAAAGAAAATGAGTTTCCTCCAAAATGCTGGGATATAAAGTCATCTTTTGAAATTTAAATTATAAATCAAGCCAATCAGAGCAAAGATGTACAAAATGCCTCCGTAAAGAGAAATGATTCCAAGACCTACAAGGCCTAACAGTACTACTACTCAGTAAGGCCTTGCTATATCTAAAAAAGAAACGTGTCCACCCGACAAGGAATAGCCCAGGTAGCTTAATAAAGAGAGCCTTGGCAATTCAGAATGTTGACCGGGCAGACACCCAAGGAGAAGGGCCAGCTAGGCTAGTGGCAATGAATGACCAGTCCTCTCAGCAGGTCATTTGACCTTTGGTGTGGAGAAAGACACAGCAGGCTGCCCAAGGCTGATATCTTTAAACATTTAAGCCAGATAATTCACTCTTCCAATTCTGATTTCAAGCTCACTGAGCCACTTTCTGACAATTAGGCTACAAATTGCAGTTCCAAAACGACAGTGGACTCGCCAGCAACTTCAAGAATCTGGCATTCTTGTTTTGTGTCTAACAAGAATGGTAAGCTCCAGGTTTTGAAATCAGATGGTCTTTATTTGACTTTACCACTTACATACACACTAACTGTGTGACCTTGGGGATATCCTTCATCATTTTTCCCCCAATTGAAAGAAAAAAAATCACAACACACCACATGATTATAGAGAGAATTAAATTAAGTAATGTATGTAATGCACTTAGTATAGAGACTAGCGAATAGTTAATGAAATCAGTAAGTTAGCATTCAGTTTTCTACAACACTGATTTTTCATCAACACTGGAACACTGAAAAGATGAAATTTCTGATCCCACAAGGTTGAGGACCAAATCTGGACCTTGGGAAATCACCAAGATGATGACTCCTGGCTAGTTCTCATTTCCTGGCACTTCTCTGCTCACATATGTAACACCTATAACAGGTAACCAGGATTCGGCTTTATCTTCTTGTATGTCTACATCTCATTTCCTGACCCTTATCTCCCAGATATACTTTTGATGCAGAAGCAGATTTAGCTCTAGTTTGTTCTCATGGAGTCAAGAGTTATTGTTCTATAACAAGCAAGAGGCTTCAAGGCTTGCCTTGATTTTTTTTTTTTTTTTTTTTTACTTCATACTATAGACCAAAAGCACCATCCACAGGGGAAACATGGGTTTTTGTTGTTCTAAGGCCACCATTTGGCCGGGTAGGCCACCACCAGCTCTTGAGGAAGATACTGCAAGGGCATATAGAGAGCCTCCACATCAGTCACAGATCAAGGCCCGCATCATGCAGGGAATGTACCCGAATTACAAACAGGAAAACCAGAGCGACTCGCGGACTAAGCAGTTTGTTTTCGGTTGCAGTTATCGGATTGCTCTACGACAAATATGAACAAACACGTGGCAAATTGTGTTTGAAGCATGCAGTCTTGTCGCGTTTTCCGAGGAATATGTACAAAATATCTTCAGATCTCAGAGACTGATGCTGGATAGAGCAGTAGGGACGTCGTCAAACCTCGCAGCAGTGCTCCACCATAAAAAAAAAAAACCTTGGTTCAGTGGCATAATTACAGGGGCTCATTGTCAGGCTGAGCGTGTGGTGCCTTGAAAAAGACTGCAGCGCCCCCTCCGTTCTTCCAAGTCAAGATCACACAGTCAATACTTGGCGAACTATCCTATAATCACCGAGGCCTCCAATTCTATGAGCTGACCATTAGAGAATGTCTACCAAGCATCCAGAAAAATAACGACTTGGTCCCTGCCCTCAAAGAACCAACATAGAGCCTAATAGAAAAGACCAAGTATGTTCTCCTTTATATGGTTTCATTTAATTCCTACACCCCTGAGGTAGCTATGGTTATCATCCCCATCCACAGTGGACCTACGGCTAAGGGAATAAATAGTTTGCCCCAAATCACAGAGCCAGTAAGTGACAGAGCAAGGCCTTGAACCCTGGAGTCTAAATTCTTGGGTATTGATGGGCACCATTTAGCCCACGAAGCCCAAACCTTAAGCTTGCTGTTCCAGTTTCTCTTATCAAAGGAAGGGTCCCCCGTTTCACTGATACCATTGACTTTTGATTTCTCTGCTGACCCAGGATGAAGAGTCTGGTACCTTGTGCCAGGACGAAGCTGTTAGAAGTGACACAGTGCGCCAGTTGGGCAGAGAGACCAGGGCCCATGCCTGGGCTTCGGAGCCAGGCCGACCCCTGGGGTCTGCGAGCCAAACCTGCCCCAGTTCGCTCGGCGCCCCCAACCGGGGCTCCTCAGAGGCTTGTTCCCAGCTACCAGGCCAGCGCCCACCTCCTCAGGCCCGGAACCCATGAAGGGGCGCCAGCAGTGGGGGGCCCGGCCTCCGCCAGCCACGAGGCGCGGGCAGGCGCTGAATGCAGGGCAGACGAGCTGGAAGACCTGGGGGAGCTCCGGCAAACGTGTCAAGGATCTGGGGTCCTGGGGTCGAGGTGGGACGGGGGCAAGTCAGGCCACCACTCCCAGCGCACGTTTCCTTTTTGTGGAACGCGGATTCCGCACCCCCCAACTCGGGTTTCTTAAAATCAAAGTGGGAGGATGGATGGATGCAAAATGCAAGCAGAGTGCCTAACTGAGCTCAGCGGGGATGAAGGAACGCACCATTTATCCTTTCTTACCTATCAGATCCCTCCTCTTCCCCACTTGGCCTGTGCCTCGTGTAGTTGTGCTTTCTGCGGTTTTCAGATCTCGTGCACTTGGGCGCCCTTGTGGTGCCCTCCAGGGGCCTGGCAGCTCACCTCTCTTGGTCGCAGGCTTGGAGAGTAGCTAGGGCAGGATGTCGCCCTCCCTCCTCAAGACCCTGCCCGTGTGAAGACGGGGGAGGAGGAGCTCACTCTGCAGGGATCCAGCCCCTGGGTCTGGCATAAATGGCCAGGGATGGATGCACTCTGGGACCCAGACTTTCCCAAACAGGGAAACTCTGTCCACTGCGTCCACCAGCGAAAGGGTGAAAGACGAGTGCCCTGGTTTTTTGTCCTTGCTCCAGTCTGCCGCGTACCTTCGTGGTATGCGGAGAATTGGGCGCTGCCTCAAGGCCGCGGATACAGCCCCTGCCATGGGGTGCTCCCCATCCCCTAGCTAGAGAAAATATGTCTGCAAGTTGTCCACAGGCCAGTTGCGTAGGACAAGCATAGGTGAGAGGAGGCACTCGGTGTTCAAAGTGATGAAATCTGCAGGCACTTGACTTACATGCCAGTTTTTGTAGCCAATACCAAGAACCCCTTTCTACTCGACTTTTTTGTCTTAATAAAAAGGAATTCAGCCTAATCACATGGATCTGATCATAAGACCCATTACTGAAACAAAACTGGAATGATCTTGGCTTTGAAAATAGCCATCTGAATTTGACAAAAGATGACTCGATGCCCTAATTTTTAAAACATGGAGTTCCCCCCTCCCGCCCCACCCCGCCCAGTGGCAGTGGGGTGGTGAGTATTCATTAGTTTTAGAAAATACTGCTTTTATCATAAGCCAGAAAATCAGACCTTTGATTTTATGACTAACTTTCACCAAACTGTTCCTTTTCTTCTGAATTCCATAATGTCCTTCTCTTTTCCTCCTGTTAACTAAATTTAAACTCATGGATGGATGGTTCTCTCCCTTTCTTCTTGAGAGGGACCAAAATTTGCCACCTCTAAATATACCTTTTGGGATGTTGATTTTAAGCTGGTTATTTTTAAGAAACAAAAGCCTCAGAACATTTGACCCTTACCTACCTAAAGGAATTCAGATAGAAAAACTTGCTTCAGGGAGGAAACCCTAGTGTGTTCACCTAAAGCATATATGAATTAAATGTGGCAGACTGGGAGAAATCTAGCCAAGCCCGTTTTTGGACTCCCCACTGTGTCCCTTTGTTTCTGGGTGGCCCAGCAAGAATTTGTTTACCACATGTTTGCTCTTTCTCAACTACCTGTGAATTACCTGCTTTTCCTTTGAAATCTTAAACCCCTGACTCCCTCTCCTTAGTCCAGAATGGCCTATAAACCTCAACTAGTGAACTCTCATATGTAATAAATTTGGACATTTTTCTCCTGTTAATCTGTCTCATGTTAATCTATTAGTCCAGCCAGAAGAACTTAGACAAATGGGAGTGGAAAGAAATATTTTACACTCCCACACTCTTTATCTTCTGTCTGCGGGTAAGGGGGAGGAATGGTCTAGGACTAGGTGACACCATCCATCACATTTTTACCACACTGGGTTCTTGCTTCCATGTTCCTGAAAGCTGAATGACTCAGCTGAAGACCCAGCAAGCCCCTCACGACCTTCTTTCCTCCATAGCTTTGTTATTCATTGGCTTAGCCACTAACATGTGATGCCCTTTGTTATTACATTTTTCACTAGAAAGTAATGCCTGGCATTTTATTTATTTTCCTTAGGATCTCAGGCATACAGAATTGAATTATATACTCCTCAATTCATGGCACACTATTATCCTTTGTCCATTTTGAGTCTTTTTGTTTTATTTTGTTATTTCCTCTAGAGTTATAGTCAAACCCTATTGCTATATGTCAATTCTAGTTCATTACTCCTGGCTGTTGCATAGTTTTCTATTAAAAGTGTACACCACAAGTACATCACCAGTCTCCTGAGACTAGACATTGGGTGGCCCCTGAATGCCTTGCTTCCATAAACAGTGCTATACCACACATCTTTTCAAGTATGTCCACGTGTTCTTGTACAAGAATTTCTCTGAGATAGTTAGATAAATAAATAAATGATAGATGACGATGTAGAGAGAGAGAGAGGTAGATAGATAGCTAGCTAGATAGATGATAGATAGATAGATAGATAGATAGATAGATAGATAGATAGATAGATAGATAATGGATAGATAGGAGATTTCTAGTTCTAGGATATTTGTGTCATGTCTTTTTCTAAAAACTGCTGCTTTTTGTGGCAGAATGGCTTCATCGGTTTCCTCCCACCAGGAGTGCATAAGAGCCCCTTTCCCAACATCTGCCAGTACTTATTAATATCTAACTAATTTTTGTCAAACTGGTAGGTTAAAGCAGTACTCCATTTCTGTCTAATCGAGCATCTCATCATGTTGTTTTGCCATTTGTGAATTGCCCTGCTGTCTCATTTGCCCTTCTTTTCTTTTAGGTTTCTGATATTTTTCTATCTGGTTTGCATTTTGTTCCTTACATGTTGATATCCTTACATATTAAAATGTTGATCCTTTATCAAATGTAGATGTTTTAAGTCATCCCCTCATCTTGTCACCCACTCGCTTATTAACCTCATTTATGGTCTCCTTTTTGTTATTATTAATAGCTTTATTGAGACATAATTTACATACCATAAAATTTACCTGTTTAAAGATATAATTCAGTGATTTATAGAATATTTACAGAGTGTGTAACCAGCACCATAATCTAATTTTAGAACATTCTTATTACTCTATTAGCAGTCATTCCAATATCCTTCAATATCCCCCTCCCCCGCTCTAGGCAAGCACTAACCTACTTTCTATATATAGTTTCCTATTTCTGGAAATTTTATATAAATGTGATTATACAATATGTGGTTTGTTGCAACTGGCTTCTTCACTTAGCTTAATGTTTTGGAGGTTTATCCACATTATGTCATGCATCACTAGTGTGTTCCTTTCTATTGCCCAATAATATTCTGTCATGTTGATATACAGCATTTTGTTTTTTCATTCATCAGTTGATGGAAGTTTAGGTTGTTTCTACTTTTTGGCTACTGTGAATAATGCTTCTCTGAGCATTCATGTGTAAGTTTTTGTGTGAACATATATTTTTATTTCTCTTGGATATATACCTAGAAGTAGAATTGCTGGATCATGTGGTATCTCTGTTTAAACTTTTGAGGAACTTCCAGACTGTTTTCCAAAGCAGCTGCAACATTTTATAATCCTACCAGCAGTGCATGAGGGTTCCAATTTCTCTACATCCTCACCAACACTTATTGTCTGTCTTTTTATCGCCATCCTAGCAGGTGTGAAATTGTAGCTCATTGTGGTTTTGATGTGTATTTCCCTGATGGTTAATGGTGTTGAGCATCTTTTCACGAACTTAGTCATTCGTATATCTTCTTTAGAGAAATGTCAATTCAGGTCTATTTTTTAAATGAGATGTTTAGTCTTTTGTTATTGAGTTGTAAGAGTTCTTTATAGATTCTTGATACACGTTCTTTATCAGATACTTGACTTGCAAACAGTTTCCCCTGTTCTGTGAGTTGCCTTTTTATTTTCTTGATGGTGTTCTTTAAAGCAAAAATTTTCAATCTTTAAATTCTTTAAAGCAAAAATTTTCAATCTTGTTGAGATCCAAATGACCAATCTTCTCTTTTATTTCTTCTGCTTTTGGTGTCATATCTAAGAAATCCTTGCCTGACCCAAGGTCCTGAAGAGTCACTCCTGTGTTTTCATCTATGAGCTTTATTGTTTAACTCTTACACAAAAATTTGTTTCTGTATTTTCTCTTACTGACTTTATTATGTCATCTTTTACATTTACATCTTTAACCCAATTGGATTTTGTTTTTATTACTATAGCTTTGCTATATGTCTTAACTTGTACTTTTTCTTTTTCAAGCTCTTCTTAGCTGGTCATGGACTTGTCCTGTAAACGTTTTAAAATCTGTCTGGAAAGTTCACAAAAAGTCCTCCTAAAATTTTTATTGGAATTAATTGAAATCACAGCTTGATCTGGGAAGAATTGAAACCTTTAAATGTCAAGTCATCTCACCCACGGGAATGGTCTTATCTCTCTATTTATTCATGTATTTTATGTATTATAATTGAGTTTTAAAATTTATGCATTTTATGTATTTTAATTGAGTTTTAAAATTTTCCCCACAGGGCTCTTATGCATTCTTTATTAAGATAATTCCTAGATTCAATAACATTACTATTATAAATGGTATCTTATTTTGTTACATTGATGCCTGTTATAATGTTAAATATTTTTCTCTCCCTTTCTTTTTTGGTTGGTTACTACTGGTGTGGAGAAATGCAATTGTTTTCAGATTGGTCTTATATCCTTTCTGAATTCCTATCCATTCTCATAGTTTTTCTGTGGATTCCCTTGAGAGTTCTATATAAATAATTACACTAGTTGCAAACATTGATAACTTTTGTCTCTTTCCTTCCAATTTCATATTTGTTTTCTTTCTGATTATCCTGTAGTGGCTACTGCTTCTATCATTCTATTACATGGTGGTGGTAAAAGCAGGCATTCTTGTCTGTTCCATTTCTTAAAGAGAATTGATACAGTTTATTAAGTGTGTTGTTAGCTATAGGTTTGTAGATGACAACCTTTATCAAGTAAAGGAAGTCCCTTTTATTTGGATCTGAGATACCAAGGAAAATAAACAAAATCCCATGTATTACTTTCTAATGAAAAAT